TAGCATAACATCTTTGATGTTTGAAGATGAAAAAGTAAACATCTGCCAACTATTTTGAGAGGAATACACCTAAGACTAACGGGGCAATACAATGCAAGATTTTACATCATCATTTTTAAAAATTGGGACTATTACATTTTCATCCAATGCCTTGAGTACATGCCTTCTAAAATAATTGGATTGAAATTTAGGGTAAAATTGGACACCACTAGTCAATGAATGCCTCAAAGATTTCTGGGGGAAGAAAATCAGGGCAAGGGGCCTTTTATTCCTCAGTGAGGATATCTCTGACTTTACTGTCTCACCTCTAGAAGTCAATTAATCTGCTTGTAACTTAAAAAACAACATTTCCTTTAATGAAGAGTTACCATTTCCTTCATCATCTGTAAACTGCTAAACTTAAAAAGAAAACAAAACCCCACAAAATCTGAAATCCATGCATCTTCAGGAATATACATATCAGAAATTAAGCTTTTTTTTTGGCCCTTTGGCTATTTGCAGTTTTGTTTGCTCTTTACAGAAATAAGAGGAAAATAGATCTCTCCATTAATGGGAATTTTAAGTACTGGGCTAATGAGGAAAATATTTGGCTTCTTTAACAATTCACAGCCTGCCCTATACTCCTTAGGTATACTCATGTTATTTGCACAAAGAATACATGTCAAATCCAATAGAAGGCAATCAGGGCTCATAGTAGAGATAGTATCTGCTATTAAACCAACAAGATTTTTCAAAAATCATCTCTACTACGAGTCCTGATTGCCTTTTCCTCTAGACCAATATGGCTACAACCTGGAAATCCAATAGAATCATCTTGTTTTGTGCTAAGGTCCACTGCTTCATTTTATCTTTATCATTTCCTTTATATGATCATATACTATTTTGTTTTAATTTTAGTATAAACTGATAGAATGAATAACCTTACAGTATTTCTTTAGCAAAAATTCTAAATATCAATGTTATTTTATTATATATACACTTTTATTGTTCATTTAATTGTACTGCTTTGGTGAAAGCTGTAAATAAACTATTACTCTGACAGTGGACATTGTGGAAAAGTTTCAAATGTAACTGAAGTGGAAGAGTTTTCTGGAGTGAAATGTCTCTGCCCATTCATTTATTTTAGACTCAGTGGCAATACTAAAAATAAAGCCAATTTAATATCCAAACTAGTTTTGGGGGCATTGGAAGTCTCAATAGCCACTCTCACCTCCGTACATTTATTTTAAAAAAATTACATAATTAGACATACCACACCCCTATGCCCTTAAGTACTAAAGAGAACCCACCTTTCCCATCTGGAAGTTCTTTAATTATGCTCCGGCGAATTATGCAATTATGAACCAGTGCAATTTTGTGCATAAAATGTATGACCACACATAATTTTGCATAATTTAACCTGGGCAAGCATAATTTAACACTCCAGCTGGGGAGCCCCATGTGGAGGCACCAAGCGTGGTGCTGTGTGACTGGACTTCTAGTGAGTGGGGAGGGGAGGCTCCTGCCTGCAACTGAGTGGGGGG